TAGGTCCGAGCTCTCCAGTCGGTGCGACTCCTGCGTCGTTCGGTCAACAAACCTGCCGATACCCTCACGGGCTATTATAATGTTGCAAAATGGTTAACGATTGACATACCAACAAAAAATAAAAGCATGATGGTACTCACGACCACGGGGCGAAAGTCGGCTCGGACGTGCATTCGTTGTTTTCCGCTCTTGATCTGCAACGCCCTTGGCCGCGTTTTGCTTCTCATTATCCAGACCTCGTAACAAATCCTGAGCAAACGCTATACGCTGCTCCAACGCTGTTTTTGGCTTGGGCCGTTTTGCTGGCTTGGGCTGCTTCGGCGACTTTGGGGCACTGACATCAGCGGATCGAGATTTTTGTTTCTCCAGGTGCCCAGTGCGGGGAGTGTCAATAAACGTTCTCGGGGATGGCTTATCTTGCACAATATCCTTCAATTCTTTTCTGGAAACTGCTTTTTCTTCTTCTTCCGAATCTTCATCTGAATCCGAAAGCCGAGTAGATCTTGGCTTGGGGCTCGCAGCAAGACTAAAATCTTCGCTGATAGGGGGGATGCTTCGTCTAGCTGCCATCTTGGCTCTCTCTGCGCATTAAAAACAACAGAAAATACAACATTAATACCCAGCGATGCCGCTTTGCATTCTTCACCCACCACGCACTTTTATTGGGGCTTTGACGACAATTTATCTCCTGTCCTGAGTGGACAGAAGATCGAAACGACGGAACAGGCCTCGACACTTGGCTTTGTTCACCGTCACATTTGACACGGACTTGGGCACGGGGTTTTCTGGTTGATTTCGGCTTTGTTACCACCACACTGCTCGCACTGTCCTCGTCATCATCGACTATAATTTCATCCATCAATACAGTAACATGCCGTGGCATACTTGGCGCAGCATTAGTTTCCTTGGGGGAGATCATGTGCTTCTCGTTTCGAGACCCCTTCACGCTTGCTGCCGGAGACACGGCTGATCGGTATTTGCGTCGTTTCTTCATGAGTAGAACCTTTCGTTCATGCTCACCACCGTCGCTGCTATCGCTGCTACCCACCGCGTCGAACTCGTAAGGCGCTTCAACCTCCATCAGTGGCTCCTCCTCAATCTTCACCGGGATCGGCTGCTTTTTTGCAGGGAGCGACCGCTTTTTCTTCTGCTTCGTGGGTGTTGAGTGTTGTTCCTTAGTTGTTTTCGGCCTTCTCACCTTCAGCTTTGGCGCGGAGGCCCCGCTACCTGCGTCCACTTCGTCATCACCGATCACTTCATAGACGTGCGTCTGCATGTGGCGCTGTTTGTTGTTCGCAAAGTTTCGATACCACAGTCCTTTGCCCATGCTCTTTCGCATCCCGTCGACGGACTCCGTCGTTGTATTCTCGTACTGCAAAGGCAGCGTCCCCGCGGCAAACCTCGGCATTTTTGTGGTTGCATCCGATCGAAGCATAAACTCCAACGCTCGCTCGAATTGCGCGCCATTTGTCCCCATGCGGTTCGCATCATAGTTGTCATCAAACTTTCTCACTTGCCGCTTCTTTTGCCAGCACCTGCACCATCAACGAAAGGCCCCTTTAAGCCCAACCAGCAACTCCACGCTTCAAAAGCGCACGCACCTACCGATCACGCTTGGCAAAGTTGGAGTCATCCAGGAAATCCACGTATAGTCGATTCTCCTTCTCGAGGTTCTTGATTCCTTCCTCCGTTCCTGGTGTCCGAATCGTAATCTACCCAACAAACATCCCCAACAACGACGTTAGGAGATACCATCCTAGAGGGTGGAATAATTCGAGCTGGGCAGCGCACCACTGATGGCCACAAGGGCCAGTTGAGGTACTTGACCCAGCACTTGACAGCCCACGTGAACGTGTGGAAGGGTGCGACTCGGTCGCTGTCCACCCGCACGATCTCGTCGTACTCTTCGGGCCAACCGTCGTACATGACTTCAACCTGCATCAAACCGATGTATCAAATTCCAGCTTCACAGCATTCCAGACACAACCACACACCCACTACAGTACCTCCTCTGGTGACGGCACACTCAGCACTCTAGCGACGTTCCACACGCCGTCGTGGTCCATCACGTCTGCCGACAAATATAAAACGAGGAAAATGTATCATTGCCACGCCACGAGCGGTTAGATTGGGCTGCCCAATTGCGCAGGACCCCGGAGCGGACGAACGCACCGAGCCAGTCGCCTTTGGTCAGCGCCACGCTCTGTCGGGGCGACGGGCTGTGGGTGGACGAATTGCTGGACCTCTTCTTGAGCGTCATGGGCGACTCGATCGCTACTCAACGGGATCGTCGTCTTTTGAGGGAATCAAAAGCAGAAGTGTCAAAAACGGATTGGCGATTGTTGATTTTGCACATAAAATGGAGAACTATTAGGTAAATTTGTACGTAAAGCACAAGGTGAAGCATAATATTCACATTGAACTTGAATGGGGGGGGGGGTAATCTTGCTGTGTTCAAGTATTAATACACTCCATGAAAAAAATGACACTCTCTTTCTCTCCAAAACTCTTTAAAGTAACATTCAAGCACATCAGCGCTCGGTGGGTGGTGGTGATCCACTAGCCATAAAATCTGCCACCAACTTCCGCTTGAACCACGAGTTCATTGAGAAGCCTTTGCTGGAGCTGAACACTGCTGTCGATGGAGGTGTCAACGGAACTCCACCCCCAACACCCGACACTGACTGGCTGACACGAAGGCGAGGCGGTGGCGCCATGTGAAGAGTTGCATTTGTTAAGTCGGAACGTTTTCGAGGGGCCATCGCCTCATCAAACTTTCTCGGTACAGCGACGATCGTCCTCCTGGACCCCTTTGCCTTCTCTTTGGCTTCAGCCACTGGTGGCACCTCTACACAACAAAATCGTCATACAGTTATTAGCCACGCATAAAAATAATAGCGGAACCCATCGCATTCACCTTTTTCGGCAGTCTGCATCCCACAGAATTGCCCACATTGTTCCTGCGATTCCTTCACACTTGCGCCGTTGGTGTTTACTACCGTTGAGGCGGCGTCGCTCGAGTCGACTGAGATTACCGATGATGAGGGCTTTGCATCAGCCTTATCGACACCCTCGAGATGAACTTGGCGACTCGCCACCGCATTTTCATCGGCGGTTCCTTTGGATTCCTCACTGTCCGAACTGTAATTTTTGCTGGCCGAGACAAGTGACTTATCGAGCTCCGCAGAATCCAAATAGGAGGAATTTTCATCTACTGTCGAGCAAAACGTTTACGTTAGCATATCTTTTTGAGCAACAGTACGAGAAGGGGGGACGGGGGTAGCAGTACCTTTGTGAAGCCTGTTCGTTTGTGGCGAAGTGGTCACAGAAAGCCCCGAGATCGCACGTTTCGATCGCTGTTCTTCGATTGTACCTGCACTTGGTGAGATAATTTGCGGTCTATCATGGGCTGCACAGACAAATATGTTCGACAGTGTCGTGAGCAATAAGGATGAAATGTCGTACGCGGAGGAGTGCTTACCATCTGCAGCGGAGGGGCTGGGGTCGTCCGATCGAACTTGTTCTGCTGTTGACACGCGTTGGTCTTCCCTTTCCTTTTTCCTTATCAGAGCCCGAAGCTTGTCTTCAGCATCCGCAATCTTTTTCTCGATAGTCCCCATTGGCCTTCTTTGTTGTTTTGTCGATCGCAGCGTGACTAAGACGCGACTACAGTCGTTCTCAACTAGCTGCTCAGGAGAATCCATAGCAGGGCACAGCTTGAGGGGTGAACCCACTTGGACAGAACTTGTCGAAACCTCTTTCTCCGCTTCATATCTCTCGTCATCTTCTGAAAGTGCCTCTGACGGCTGGATTGCTACCGGTTCATCACTTGAAGTTAAGTTGAGAAATCCCACCACGGGTGGAATGCTACGTCTGGCTCCCATCTTAACCAGCCCTGCGCACTCAAAGAGCATCACGGGTGTCATCATTAATTTCAATGAGTTAATGCAAATCTTAGAAATCCTCATTTGCAGAAAGCACCTTTTGCCCGCTTTTCCTGGTTGCTCGTGGCGCCACGAGCAACACGCCGCGAGTCCTTACTCGCTTGAGGTCGAGGCATGCGTCTCTCCTCTTTTTGCCGCGACTTTGTCTTCGACGACGAAGTAGATCGCGGTCTGGTTTGTAGCCGTCGTCTCTTCGATCGATTGCCGTCTTGGCTGCTGTCGCTATCGTCGCTGCCGCTACTGTCAATCGGCTCCAGCTCATACGGCACTTCAGGCTCCGAGTGCCGATCCAGCTCGATCTTGACCGGAGTTGGTCGCTTCTTCTCTTCGCGAGTTACTGGAGGCTCCTTTTTCATCGACAGATCCAGTCGTTTCGCCGTCGGCTTCGGTGGTAGTGCGTCATCGCTTGACGAGCCTTCATCTTCCTCATCCCCCATCGTCTCGTAGACGTGACACATCCGGTGAAGCATTCTATTTTGTGTGAAGCTCTGAAACCAGAGCTCGTCACCCATGTTCCTCCTCACCATCTCGACAGAGTCCACCAAGCCGTCCTTGTACTCGATCGGCAAAGTTCCTACAACAAACTTGGGCATCTTTGTGGACGCGTCGGACTGCAGCACCCATCCGAGAGCTCGTTCGAATTGCTCCCCAGTCGACGCCATGCGCTTTGCATCATAGTTACTCTCAAAGGCCCGGGCTGAACCCTTCTTCTGCCAGCATCTACAACAAAACCGTCAACAACAAGTTTCCACCATCCAGATCCCAGTTCGCAAGAAGCTCATACCGGTCTCGTTTGGAGAAATCCGGGCTATCGAAGAAGTCCACGTGGACGCGATGCTCCGCCATCAGGTTCCGAGCTCCTTCCGGTGTCCCTGGCGTCCGAATGGTGATCTACGACACGCCCAGCGGCAGCATTAGCACAGATCTACCGTTGATACGGTTTGAATCAAACTGTAGCTGAGCTACGCACCACCGAGGGCCACAGCGGCCAGTTGAGATACTTGACCCAGCATTTGACCGCCTTGGTGAACGTGTGGTAGGGCGCCACCCGCTCGCTGTCGATGCGCACGACCTCGTCGTAGTCCTTGGGCCAGCCGTCGTACGTGATCTCCACCTGCCAGCAACAAGCGTCAGAGGCCGTGGTCGCCCAAATAGTAGCCAAAGCACAGGGGTTCACCTCTCCAGGCGACGGGAAGCTCAGCACTCGCGCCACGTTCCACACGCCGTCGAGGTCCAGGACGTCTGCACAAATCCACGGAATCAGTGAGTTTCGGAGCGCGAGAACACGCGATGCCGGGCGACGGGGAGCGCACCCAGCCAGTCGCCCACGTGCAGGAGGCTCTTCAGCTTCAGCGACGGCCCGCTGCGGCCCCCGGCGCGGCCTGCGTTGCGCACGTCGAGCTTGGTCCTCTTCCTGGTCACCATGGCCTTGGACCTCCTGGACTTTGAGGGAGGTCTGATTGCAAAAGTGAAAATTCCGAAAACCAAGGGACTAACGTCAAAATTTGAACTTTGACGATGAATACTCTCGCTGGGCAGAAGAAGAGGAAGAAGAGGAAGGAGAGGTGGAAGAAGAAGAAGAGAAGGAGACTTGTTTATCGTCACTAGACCCTCCTCGCTGACCTAAGCGTACAAAATGGTGATCCCATATATAAAACTAAATGGCTTGAGCCTCCCCATGCAGTCCACGGTCCGAGCAACTGGTGTCGGTGGAGACAGCAACGCGCAGGAAAACCTCCCATGCAGTCCACAATTCACTGTGATGATCTGCGGCGCTCACTGCAGCACGCAGCTGCCTCGGATGAAGTCGACGATGTCGGTCTGTGCGCAGCGCTGGCAGCGGTACCAACCGTTGGTCTCGGGGCGCACCTTGGTCGGGTCGCGGTAGAATATTTGGCCGCACTCCCGACACGACGCGTAGTCGCGCGCGTCCGTACCGTCCACCGGGGCGAAGGCCGTGGCCACGGGCACCGCCCTGGGCGGCAGCTGGGCCGATGGGTAGACGGAGCCGGCCGCCCTGCCGTCGTGCACGATCGTGGCGGCCACGGCCGGGAACAGCACCTGCACCTTGCACACGGGGCAGCAGATCTCGGAGCGCAGGTGGTTGTCGATGCAGTGCGCGTGGAACAGGTGGCCGCACTGCGGCTGCTTGACCATGTCCTTCTCGAAGAGGCCCTTGCGGCAGCGCGCGCACTCGGCGTTCGTCGTGTCGACGCCCGTCCGCGGGTCCTTCATGGGCACGTACGCGCGCTGCGGGATGTCGGCCGTCGTCTGCGGCAGCGGCTGCGCGGCAGGAATCATCGCTACAAACGTGTATTCGTCAAGCCTTGAGTGCGACTCGGTTTAATCGAGAATGACGCGAGTGCAAGTTGACGCCGCTCGAGTGGATTCTCGCATTTGTCGCACAAGTTTCCTCTGGACATGGATACATTGTGTGCTGAACATCATTTGAATTAGGTTTTAGTCCAGACCAAAAACACTTTTTAGTCCGAGGAGCAATTGGGGAGACCTTTTGCAGGAACGCTGCGTTAGTTCAAAGTACGCACGCTACGTGTCCCGCCGCCCTCATTCGCGCTCCGCCTCCTGCAGGTGAGAAGGTGGTCATCTCCTCCTGCTCCTCTGCACCCCCTCTCTGTGTGTCCATATCCCCCAGGCCGCTGTAGTGCGAGCTAGAGAGACAAGAGAGAAACCAATCAGTACTCACAAGATGTTCGGCTACTTCGCGGAGAAGCTCAACGTCAAGAACCTGGGCGAGCTGCTGGCGCCCACGCTCACGCCCGAGCAGGAGTTCCACGCCGCCATCGAGCAGGGACTTCACGCCAAGTTCGTGAGCATGCTGGAGGAGCAGAACATGGACCCGAACGCCAAGAACGAGGCGGGCAACCTGCCCATCCACACGGCGGCGTACTACGGCCGCGTGGACTTCCTGGAGCTGCTGCTGGCCCACAACGTGGACGTGAACGCCATGTGCACGCGCCAGAACTCCCCGCTGCACTACGCAGCAGCGCAGAGCCGCGACGACGCTGTCAAGTACCTGGTGAACAATGGCGCCAACCCCGCGCTGCGCAACCGCAGCGGCCGCACGCCGTACGACGTGGCCAAGGGCGACAACATCCGCCAGTTCCTGCTGCCGCTGCAGTTCCGACACGAAGACCCGGCGCAGGCCGCGTCGATGCTCCCGCCCGGAATCACGCCGTCAGTGGACCCGATGGCGCCTCGCCCGGTCATTGCCCCGCCCCCGATGAGCGGAGACTACTCGGCGATGCAGGGCCCCCCGACGGGCATGCCCCCGCAGCAGCAGACAGCGCAGAACAACCTGTATGCCGCCGCCACGCACAGTGCCATCCCTCGCGGCGGACCTTCTCGATTCGCTCGCCCCAAGGACTACCGCCCCATCCAGGCTGACGGATTCGGCTCGAGTGTGGGCAACGAGGAGCTGACGGCCAAGTTCGGCAACAAGCGTGAGATCAAGGTCACGGCGCCGCCCCCGTCGGCCATGGCACCGCCGGCGCCCGCATCAACTGACGCCCCTGCACCGGAGGGAGCTGCGCCTTCTCCTCCTGCTCCTGGTGTGAACCCGTACGCCTCCAACTACGCGCGCGGGCCGGCCCCAGGCGGCTACCCGGGCTACGCGCCTCCTAATGCTGGCGTAGCAGCCCGCGGCCCGCCCCAGTTCAAGATCTTTAACCCGAAGCTGGCCAACAATGCAGATGCCAACGCACCCGCTGCCGCTGCCCCCGCTGCGCAGCCTCCGGCGTTCGGCTCGGCGGCCCCTCCTCAGTACGCCCCGGCCCAGGCGGCTGCTTATGACGCTCCTGCACAGGGCGAAGAAGTGAATTTATCGGCCAACGCGAGTGTGCTGCAGTAGTTCAACGTAGCGCTAAGAGTAAGCCAAGCCAAGCAAGTAGATGACTGATACGCTGCAGTAGTCCTACCTAACACTGCTGCTTTGAAGGGGGGGTCAACAAGTGTATCCATCTGCACCGCAACGTGGTGAATGCCTCGTCACTTGTGAAGTAACCCTTACTTACCAGTCACTTCATATCCCTACTTCATCTGAAGAGCTCCCGTCGATCCTCCAGCCAAGGAAGACATCGTGACGACGACAGCCATGAGCGCGGCCGAGCAGGAGACGACCAAGGCGCTGGAGTCGCTGTCCTTCGAGGAGCTGTCGCTGCTGAACGAGCGCAAGGAGGCGCTCAAGAAGGACCACGCGGCCTACGTGGAGGCGCACCCGGAGATCAAGACGCTGCTGAGCGGCTTCATGTCGGCGCTGCTGCTCGAGAAGCCGCAGGACGTCGTGGCCTTCGCGGCCGAGCACTTCTCGGCCTTCAAGCCGCCCCACGCGGAGCTGCAGCCCATCGTGATCGCCGGACCGTCGGGCGTGGGCAAGGGCACGCTCATCAACCTGCTGCTCGAGAAGTTCCCCGACACGTTCGGCTTCTCCGTGAGCCACACGACGCGCGGCCCGCGCGAGGGCGAGGTGGACGGCGTGGCCTACCACTTCACGCAGAAGGACAAGGTGCTCAAGGAGATCGAGTCCGGCCTCTTCCTCGAGCACGCCGAGGTGCACGGCAACGTGTACGGCACCAGCAAGCGCGCCGTGCAGGACGTGCAGGAGAAGGGCAAGATCTGCATCCTGGACATCGACATCCAGGGCGTGCAGCAGGTCAAGAAGTCGGGCATCCGCGCCAAGTACCTGTTTATTGCGCCCCCGTCCATGGAGGAGCTCGAGAAGCGGCTGCGCGGACGCGCGACCGAGACGGAGGACAAGATCCAGCTGCGCGTCAAGAACGCCGCGGGCGAGCTCGCGTACGGCCAGCAGCCGGGCGTGTTCGACGCCATCCTCGTCAACAAGGTGGTGGACGACAGCTTCCGGGAGCTCATTGACACGCTCAAGCAGTGGTACCCGTCGGTGGAGCTCAAGTAGATGCCATCTGTGGAGGATCTGAGTTGACGCAGAAGGCAATTTGAATCAGAGCCGAGTGTTGAAAAGTCTACGTGCATTTGGGCAACACTCAGCTGATGCGGTATTCTACATGCAGCGTGTCTTCAGGCTTGGGCTTCGGCACGAAGATAGACGACCGCTTCCGCCCCTTTATGCTTGACTTGCGACGTCCTTTGAACGCATCAATCACCACTGCTGCGAGTGCTGCTGGATCACCAGGAGGTGGCGTAGCAGCGCTGGGCCGTGGCGACTGCACCTTGATAGAGACCGGATGCTGTAGCCCTCCAAGCACCCGTGCCTGGTTGAGCTCGGTCATCCACTTTTGCTTATCGATTGCACTGGCTGCCGTGAATAATAATTGAGTCGTGTCATCGATGCTTAGTAGGAAACTCTGGCGCAGCAAGGCTTCCGCTTGTCCTGGCGTGACAGGTACATCACTAACTGTACATTGCCTGCGAGGATTGTGAAGGGCATATCGACGAAGACATGGTGTTTGTGATAGGTTGCTGAGAGCAATGGTGTCAGCGTACTCACGAAGCTCGCTGTCAATCAAAGCGTAGAAGAATCGGCGTCCTTGATGAACTCGAGGGAGGATTGCATCGAGAATATCTCGACCGTCGCCATCGAACGAGACTGCGCTCCTCACACGTAACATCGTGAGAAACCCTTGCTTCCTCGTCAGCGCTGCGTGAGATGGAGCGTCGGAAGGCGAAATTATCTGCATCTGCTTTGCATTTGGTCTCAAAGCCTTTGCTGGCTTCTGATGTTGCGGCTTAGTACGTGCTTCTGCTGGCGGTGTGTGCAGATAGTGCAGCAACCCAAGATGCCGCCTCTGGTAGGATTCCCCCGGCCCGGCGAAAGGGGACGGGGAATCAGCAAAGTACTTGCCCAAGCTGTTCACTGGTGTGGACGAAGGCTCTAAACGCATCGCTCGCATCGGCGACTCGATCGTACACATCTGTGCGCGGACTCTGGCGCGGACGTCAACCTCAAACATTACCGGATCCTCTTGGTTTGAGCCGATCACCTTTTCCATAGCAAGTGGCAAACCGGTGACCCCACGACTGCTTTTCATCGAGCGTCTTCTCCATTCGGCGGAAGCTGCGGTAGCCTTTGCTATATTCCTGAAACTTGGAGAGCCATCGCTTAAGTGGTCAGCAACTGGGATTTTCACGTTCAATCGTAGCATATTCGATACTTCCTCGTTTTGATGTGCAACAGTGGGCTGAGTCGTAGCTTCAGCACCGCTACATTCATCTTGCTTGGGCGAAATCACCCACTCCGGCTGATCTTCAACGACCTTTGTGTCGCCACTAGCGTGGTTTTTATCGAGAAATGATCCTATCAAGGTGGTCACCGACACGTCACTGGGAATATCATAGCGCTCCACTCTATGCTGAACCTTATAAGTAGCATCCGCATCAGTACGCAACGCGCTCTCACCCAAATCGTTATCAGTGACGTTATCAACGTGGTTTTTCAGTGGTGATCCACAAGGTGATAATATATCACTGCATTGCTGCAATTTGTCAGAGCTTTGAGCAGCGCACGGCTGAATCGTTGGGAGCCGTTGGCTCGGAGCTGCCAGCTTCTCGTTCATTACTGTCGCCGTCACTCGCTTTGCTAATAGGTATTGCTGATCGTAAAGCTCGCGTAATTGATCACTCAAGTCTTCGAGACCAACTAGCAGACCACGAGGCACAATGGCTTTCAACTTGTCGACGGGAATGCTGGCTATCGTCACAGCAGCTGACGTTGCTACCAGAGTAATAGGATGGTGATCACTGTCAACCCAGAAGACATGCCCCACCCCAACATCAGCCACAGTCGCCAATATTTTGATAGTTTTTGTCGCCTTCTTTTGCTGAGAAGGATGATTTTCTTGAGAGCAACCACTAGCAGTTTCGTCTTCACAGGGTTCATAGCGGAAGTCGCCGTTTGGACGCCGAACAAGGATAACGTTTTGACGAATGCAGCACGTGCCTTCTTTGATAAAATAAACCTCTTTCGTCGAACTTGAGCCTCGCTGGAGCTGGAAAATATCTGCAAGCAAATAACAACAAAACATTGGAAACAAGTACAAACTTGCAATGTCTGGACGAATACGAACGTACTGGTTCCTCGTATGTGCGTCTGGAACGAAAAACTATGATACAAATAAGCGATCCTCTCGAGGTCAAGCGAAACAAAAGACGATATTTGCGAGCGCAAATATTCAATGTTGCCGCGTGCGTCGTCCGTGCATGGCCAATGCCTCATGAACATGCCAGAAGGGATCGACAAAAGCTTCGTGGGCTCTGCAGCAATTGCCGCTGTATATAGAGGGGCTTCCGGTACCAAAATCGTGAACTCACCGAAGCCTTCTCCGGCCCCGACCTCACGAAGATTGTGCTCTGAAGTAGTGGAACTAGCGTTCTGTGTTACGATGTGGCTATTTGGCCCATTCGCAACGAGGTGTATACGTCCGGTGAGCAACAGGAAGAACCGATTCCCGGATCCATTGGCGTCTTCATTACCCTTATACGCGTCAGTATACCGATCCAGCGCCTCAAACCGAGCATTCAGACACAACTCCCTTCGAGCATCTTCTGACAAATCTCGCAACAGTGGAAAATGCGCGAGAGTGCCCATAGTGAGAAATCGCCGCTGATTCAGGATGTTCTTGAAAAAATCAAAAAGCTTCGGAGTCTTCTTCAGTTTGATATATCCCTCAGATTGATCGATTGCCCCATGAGAAGCGCGTTTAAAGAGTTTCTTGCTCGCAAGTTGCCACTTCGCCTTCGCGTTTGACGACCTCCCAATGAGTTCATTTGCTGCCTCCTCTTCCGTTTTAGCTAGAATTGAATGCAGGACTTGACGATCTAAGCAGAGGATTTCTGTGCCTGGTGATAGCACATGTGGTCGATCGTTTCCCTTTTCTTTTCCTCCTGAGTTTCCATTCAACGAGGTATCCGCATACACGTCGTGAACACTCCGGAAAGTACCAACTGGCGCAGTTATTTCATCGCCGTAGATGTCTCCCGGACACAAGTGAAGCATGAACAGCGCCTTGGTTGACTCTTTCTTTTCATCTGCAGGATTGCTCGTGCTTGAATCTCCAGTCGTGTGCTGAAACTTTACTTTATTCACCACAGAGTGTAGTGATCGTCGAGCACCTACCGGCGGATTGGGGGTTGCTGTCTGTTGACCTTCTGCCTTACTCGATTGCCGAGCTTTTGCTTGTTTTGCGGCATGCAGTACAAAGTCAGTAAAGCGTGAATTGGGGCTGGTAGCTTTCTCTTCCGACTCAGTCTCCACTTCGGCAATTCGCGCAATTTTACGCTGCAGAGCCTTTCGATTCGATATTCCATCAATGCCGTCCCTCTCTTGGAACAGTTGCTGGGATGTAGTAGAGTAGTTACTCGCAACACTTCTCTCAAGAGCGGCGCTTTGAACAGAGCGCTGACTCGCGTTCAGAATGGAAGTGACTTCCTTGTTCTCACGGACGTAGACGGCGAGTTTTCCAGATACGACAAACACAAGCTGCTTCAAGATGTCGTTGTGTTTGACGAGCCGTTGCCCTGGGGCAAGATGAATATGAATCATTGATCGCAGCAGTAGCGTCTTTTTGGCGGCGGAGAGCGGTAGCCAAGGAATACGCGCTGCTTCAAGATACGCCAGCAAATGAGAAGGAGGAGTACCTCTCTCTGTCATTGGTGCGGGTGCCTTTGGGGTTGGTTGTGGGACTGATCCTGGCCCTGTATTGACCGCTGGGGAAGCGGAAGTCTCGGACGGAGAGACGTAGGTACTCATATCCACTGCTGGGGTATGCTCGGCTAGCAACTTGGCGTACACTTTCTCGTCGAAAACAAGATACTCGCAATCTGTCTGAGCCACCACAGTTGCTGGGCATACTGTGCCCTCTTGAAGCACCCCCGTCCGAAAGGCATTACGTGGCGGCAAAGTTTGAATATGAACTCCGTGCATGGCGCCGCGGTGTTTCAACGCTGCGGAGGGAGACATGGCTGAATTATCTTCTGTTCTCCTCTCGCTTACGAAGTCTTCTGGGCTTGCAGTAGAGCCAGAGAAGGAGGAGTAACTGCAGAACGGGTGCTTCTGAAGCATGTCAACCGTAGCGGACATGTTCTCGATACTGTAAAATGACACGAACCCCGATAGTATCACGACAAGGGCCCGGTGCGAATCCCCCTCGCGGAACACCTCCTCACCCGCATTCTTTCGTTGCAGAGAGACCTGGGTCAGCATTTGAGCCAGCAGGAAACGTGGCAAAGTCTGAAAAAGCCCAAATCGCTTGAGTAAAATCGCTGCCTCTTCAAGGCGCCGAGCTTTACCTCTCTCAGGCTCAACAACAGCAGACGAAATCAACGATGGGCCGGATTGTCGCCGATTCACTTTCACGGATGAGGAATAACTGGATGAATACGAATGTCGTGGGCTTGCTGGGGGCGACGAGTTACTCCATACGAACGGCTGTAAGATGCTTCCAGCTTTCACGATTGTATTGTGACGCATGGGGGACACCCACCTCTCAAATGTTGAGCGAGTTACGCACAGTAAGGTTGTACCAGCATCAGCAAGCACCGGCGCATCGGAGGTATAACAGCGCTTCATCAACTCGCGGGCACCGAATGCATCACCTGGAATAAAATGTACTTCTTGCTCGAGAGACACCCGCCTCGCACTTGTTTGATGAACCAGCGCCTTGTTCCCAGTATTGCGACTGTTGTCAGACCCTTGGAAGTGGTGACTGTGAAGAGCCCCCGTCACGACAATGTACACACTATCGATTGTCGCTCCAGCTTCCAGGAGTACATCATTGGACTCGAAATGCTGGATCTCCATGTGATGGCAAAGACGCTCGAGCACAATCGGTGGAAACTGGAAGAAAAACTTTGACAGGGTTGCGTCGGTCAACAAGTATCGTGTCACCTGGCATATATCTCGACTATCAATGATCGATGATAAGGGAGCGGAGGAGTGAGGAGCGCCAAAGATTGGAGTGTACGATAGCCGAAGGAGATCATCGCGCATGAGCTGCTCGTACTGCTCTCTGGTAATTAGCAACACCTCTGTGGATGCGTCCCCCGCAGCGACTTTAAACCGCATGGGAACCTGGCGCCGCCGACGAGGGTTGGATGCCCAAATGTGTGAGTGGCCGAGGGCAACCATTTGATCGCCGAATGCTTGGCCTCGACCCAGCGACGCAACAGCACCATTAGGCACCGGAATCGTACTTGTTGCGACGTTCACAACATTTGAAGTTCCTGCAGTGGCGTTGCTTTGTGAATTGGTTGTCACCATATCAGGACTCGGAGTATCCCCATACTCAACGCAATGGATATTTAGACAGCCGGCACGAACTATCGCGAACGCTGTAGCGCAGGAATCCCTTTCAGCGTCAGGAGAAAATAAGACTTCGCCCGCCTTCAACTCTCGCGTTGTTGCACTTTGAAGCAGCGTTCTTCTCGCTGTTTCAGATAGGAGTGAGAAAAGCGCTAAATGAGCTACATCCGTTCGAGAGGTTTCCTGAATAACAACAGAAAATCACGTTAGTCATAAAAAAATTGAACAAATTGATGTCTTTCCGACCTTTGTTGACGTAAGAGTGCCTCGTTCGTATACCAACCCGAATCGCTCAGTCACTCGATCCAGTGAATCCTAATGCGCAACATATTAAATTTCGATGGACACTTGGTAAGGAAATTTTCTACTTTTGGCCCCAAACCTTTGCTAACATGATGATAGTAGTTGATTCTTGGCTGTGCTGTAGGGGACAAGAACCTTGTAAGCTACGGAGATTCAGTCATAAAACATATCACCCATGTTGCATACCACACTTCTACGACGACAGAGAGGCTTCAGATGGCGCCGACTTTCGCGACTCGATGAAGGTAAAGAGCACAAGTAAAAGTCGTCGATCCCGCATATTGCTGTACAGTAGAAGCACCATTCAAAACGAGCTGTTAGCTTCAACATTATCGATCCACGACAAACTTGTAGCATTACCTCCTTTCCCATAAGTGACCTGCAGATCTCCAAAGTCAATCGTGACGCCTTTTGCATTGGTCTTCTTGCTATTCCACGACCGAAAGTCATCGCCTCGGCTGTGACGTTCGCTAAACGCCTTGTTGAAGTAGCCACAAAGCGAGCCTTCGAGCTGAGCATAGCAAAGGTTAGCGACTAACGTGCACTCATACCATAACGAGTTAAACTCACAACAATATACGCGTGCGAATAATCATCAACGATATCCTCCTGCATCAAATGGGCGCAAAGGTAAATTGTTAATACCGATCTATTAGACTATCGATCCCTTGACTCACCTGGTAGAAGAGAACATCCCCGTCGGGGATACGCTAAACGGATCGGATCGCAGTAGAAATCACACTTAGCAAACCAGGTACTTCAGAGAATTTAATGAAAAACGGCACACCAACGGTAATTGTACACTCGGTAGCTAAGTCTAGTTGTACCAAGCGCAACAGTAGGTGTAAGTTCGCCTTTAAGCTTTTCCAGTTTGCAACTAACATCGACGTACATTTCAAAATCTGTGGTGCCACTGACGCGAACACACCAAGACTCGCCAAGTGATGCTGAATCATGACCACGTCGATGTCGCTGCGAAATCGAGGGCTGTTGAACAAAAAATACTGACATTAGTTGTCTCCTTTACTGTATTCCACCCACTTATCCGGTTGTTCCTACGGCGTCTTGAGAGCTGTAATCAGCAACGTCCGCTTCAAGTTGGCAACCAGCTCTGCGTCGCTTGGGCCTGGTGGCCCCGACATGTGTCGAACGATGCCAAGCTTGGGCGATGGCCCCGAAAGCGTGCTCATTGCAACTCACACAGAATGAGGAGACGTCGGCACCTGGACAAATAGTCCGCCGCAAACTATTTGTAGCCATGTCACAACACATGGCTACATTCTCGCACTAAGTCGCGTACTGTAATTGGAGGCCCGTTCTCAACCGAGATGGCCAAGCGCAACCGCGGCGTGGTACGGGGCGTCTTGAGTGCGTGCGTGTGTGTGTGTGTGTGTCTGAGGGCGTCCTACGTACTGACTCACGCCCGAGCAGGTTTTCCACGTGTCGCTGCTGTACAACCTGCTGCTACGCCACGAACAGCGCCGCCCCTGGTGGAGTCACATCGAGCCCAAGTTGATCCTCGGCGCCTTACCGCTGCAGGACAAGGACCATTTGGACCAGGTATCTACTATAGATGCACTGTGTTGCTGTGGAGAAACTGCTTCATCGGTCTTACGGAATGTGTATCGATATGAAGTTGGTACGAGACGAAGGCGTGAAGGCAATCGTAACCATGAACCAACCAGTAGAGTTACTGCCAAACCTCTTGGCAACACCAGTATCTCCGGGTAATGCGCCAAGGGCATTGCATTGACCGGCACTTATCAGGGTGTCTGATCGTGAGGCTATCTTCCTGTTGGCTCTGCAGAGGAGTGGGAAAGCGCAGCAGTTGCACAGTGTTTTGGCTCGACGGGGGACTTCTCTCCGCCGACCTTGGAGACCATTCAGAGGTTCGTCTGGCAGGAAAAGTCATAGCTGCTGCTGAGTGAAGGCATTTACTGATGCTGTCGCTTGAGTGCAGATGTGTGGAATTCGTCCACGAGCAGGTTGACGTAAAGCAGAACACGACGTACGTGCACTGCAAAGCGGGGCGAGGGCGGAGCACAGTGGTAGTGGTGGCCTTCCTGATCCAGTATCGTAACATGACGCTCGAGGCGGCCTTTGACTTGGTGAAGACCAAGAGGCCTCACGTGAGTCTCCATCCTAAGCAGCGCCGTATCCTGCTTGAGTTCAGTGAGAAGTCCTCGTCGTCGTCCTCATCGTCACCTACAGCGAACGCGCAGTCATAAATACACACCCGATTGTCTGGATAAAGCCAGGTTCATTTCCGCTGCGTCAAACGCAGACAAGTTTACACTAATCTATAGGTGTAGATCCCTTCGTCGTTGGTAGGCTCTTCCCACTCGAAGCCAAAGCTCTTGGCAGTGTTCAAGACGTAGTCAATGGACACGTTGCGCTTCGTGTACGCCAGCAAGAACTCGGACGCGGCCTTGCCTCCGTCCTCCCCGCTGCGTCGACCGGGCTTGAGCAGGTACTTGGCCGTCTCGAAGAGCGACACGACATGCTCCTGCTCGTAGATGATGTCGGCGCCCAGAATGATATCGAACTTGTCCTGGATCTTGTCCAGGTCGACGCCCCACAGCAGCTTCTGGCACTGCACGCGGTCCTCCACCTCGTTGAGCTTACAGTTGGCGACCAGCAGCTCGATGGTGTCGTCGTCTCCGTCCGTGATTAGCACCTGCTCGTCCGTGAGGTAGGACGCCAAGATGCCGATGAGTCCGAGCCCGCTGCCCAGCTCGATGACCGATTTGCCGGCGAAGCGGCCGCGGTTCTGGTACATGAAGTCGCTGAGGAAGTCGCCGGCGCGCCAGAGCGTGAGGCCCGTGGACTGCAGCGTCTGGCCGATGTCGCGGCGCAGGCCGTTGAGGCGGATGGTGATCTCGGCGTCGGCGCCATCCTGCGTCTGGCCGAACTTGAACTCGAACGAGTCCTCCCGGGGCTCGACGTCCAGCGCCTTCTGGATGTCCTTGCGCACGTCCACCGAATCGCCCTCCACGGCGATGCCGCGCTCGATGGCGAACTCCTGCAGCGCCGCCAGCGCCGCGCCCGACAGCATTAGCTGCTCGCCATCGCTCTCACTGTCGCTGTTCATTCCGCAGCCGTTGGTGGTCAATTGCTGCTGATGATGACCAACAAAAAACAATAATTGTGTCCGAATTCTGTGAGTGAAGGTCGAATTCATTCAGGAATTAATTGGCATTTTCAGAGCTGACTGTCGATATGACTATTGAGTCGCCGGCGGTGCTGGGGCACCTGAGCTCCTGGCTGACCAGCCCAGAGCTGTGTGCTATACGGGCGGCCAGTCGCAACTTGCACGCTGCAATTCCGCGGCACACATGGGAGCTCACGGCCAGCAACATCAGCAACGCCGAGGCGATGGGTCGACTCGCCAAGGTGTTCCCGCACGTGTGGTGTCTGCGGCTGCAGGACGCCATCCTGGAGGAGATGCCGACCATGCAGGCGATCGTGCCGTGGTTGAACAGGGGCTGGAAGCTGCGAGAACTCATCTTCACCCGAGTCACGTGCATCAGCGGGTTCTACGTGCATCTCCTGGCCGAGGAGCTCAAGAAGGTCACGATTCGCCAATGCTACCAGGTGCAACAGCCCGCCATCGTCGCGCCGAACCTGGAGGTTTTGGTCATTGAACACTGCCCCGTGAGCAAGTTCCACGCCGGCACAAGCCTTCCGCAGCTCAAAAAGCTGGCGCTGTCGTCGCGGAGCTTGTCGGCGCTGCGGGCGCGGCATCTGATCAAGAATACGCTGCCGAGATCACCCGCGTTGGAAGTCCTGAGTCTTGCCGGTTGCTTGCAGCTTGAACAGGTGCTGGTGGATCCAGGAGACCTCCCAGCTTTGCGGAAGCTCGACCTCAGCAGCTGCGCCAAACTCACTCGAGTGCACGTGAGCTCGAAGCTGCTGGAGACGCTCGATCTGTCGCGCAACGACGAGTTGCAGTTCGTGTTACTGGACCTCGAGCGCGCGGTGGACCTGGACTTGTCGTTCCTCAAGAACCTCACCCACTTGTACATCCGCTCGCCGTCGCTGCGGCGCCTGAACCTCCGAGGCTGCGACCAGCTGAGGCGGAACGCCACGAGCGTGCACTGTCCGAATCTGCAATTCGTCGTGCTTCAAGGCACATCGCTAGAGGTCGACGACTTGAACACGAGCGAGGTCAACGACGAGGTGCTCGCGTTGCCAGCCAGCGCAGAGCAGCAGCGCTAGATAGCTGGGTGCCATCCAGGATATTGACTATACAATCATTCCGACCGAACCGTTTTATAAAAACATAGAAACACTATATCTTGATGTCACTATCAATTGATGTTGTCACTCGCATCAAGTCTCAAAAACGCTCGTTTCTGCTTGAACCGGTACGGCATTCCGACGAAAGAAGTGCGACCGACCATGGGGAACGCCACGAGCTGGTTGACGCAGTCGCTCTGCCCCGAGGAGCAGGCGCTGTGGGTGGCGGCCAAGAGCGGGGACGTGGCCACGCTGCGCCAAGGACTGGCGCGCCTCACGCCCGAGACGCGCTTCCACGCCGAGTGGAGGGACCCCGTGTACGGCTACTCGCCGCTGGCCAACGCGTGCTCGCAGGGTCATCTGCACTGCGTGCAGGCGCTGCTCGCGTACGGCGTGGACTGCAACGCCCGCGACTCGCAGGGCAACACGCCGCTGCACATCGCCACGGCCTGTGGCAAGAGCGAAGTCGTGCGGCTGCTGCTGGAGACCCCGGCGGTGGACTGCTTCGCCAAGACGTCCACCAAGGCGCAGACAGCGCTGGACATCGCACGCCATGCATACAGAACATCGGAGGGACGAGGACACAAGTACATACAGTGCGTGGAGCACATTGAGAAGGTACAAAACTTGATGTTGATGGATTGGGAGCAGTGGCTGGCATTGTGCATTGACGCACTTTCGGTTTGGTCTGATTTGGTTTGGTAATGATCATTGTAGAAACTCTGTATCTACTCAGGGTGGCTGTATGAGAGATCGGACAACTTTTTGTCGATTGCGTCGGGAATATCAAGCTTGGACTCGTGGAAGAAGAGGTACATTTCAAGGAACGGTTCTTGAGAAGATTTTTAGGCGCTAATGTGTTTATTGGGCCCAGATACGCGATGGTACTTCGGACTGCAGCGCGAGATGTTGCCGAGATCGATCTGTTCCCGATGAGGCCTGGAGAGCGACGCCCGCCGGTCCCTAGGTACGTGTTACTACGTCACGGTAGCGTTTTCAACTTTCACTTTAATCGAGACAAACATTGGTGTGTTGTGGCTCGCCAGCTCGGAGCTTCTGTATCGAACAAGCGACGGAATTCAACAGAGTGATGATGGCACTTGGCTCAACCGAAAAGAATTTCGGATGTCTTTGAAGGTGTCGCGGAAGTTAGACACAAGTCGAGCGTCGGCTGTCCAGTCGATGGACTTCGCTGCTACAAACCAAGGCGAACTGGTTGCGTGGAAATCGTTCTTGACCAGTCTGCGGGTAACGTTTTCTGCTGATATTCCCTATGAGTTGTTGTCGGTTCGTTTTAACGTGCGATATTGCTCGTAGGTCAACGCCCCAGCGAGTCCGATCACTACCGCTTTCGGAGGTCAGCGAATTGCTCCACCACAACCTGCTCGGCCTGCTGCTATGTCGGCTCCAAGCGCAAGTCCTACCCAGGCTGCACTGCTTCAGGAGCAACGCGATTTGGAGCGAGCTCTACGACTCTCTCTTGAGGAATCCCGGCGTCACCCCAGAACGAACTCGGCGCCGTCTGCTCCACCTCCTTCCGACACAATGCTGGAAACCCTAGGCTACTCGGAAGCGATTGTGGGGCCTGATGGAGTGGAGATTGTGCAGCTTATGCGTGAGGATGACTCGACGGCTGTTCATGGCACAGCATCTCCACCTCCTTCCTTGAGCTCCCCGGCGAAGAATACTCCTGGACAAGGTGCTGGGGCTCAGAGCAATGACGAGTGCGTGATTTGCTTTGATGGGCATCAGGAAGCGGTTTGCGTCCCATGTGGCCACAACGCAGTCTGCATGGACTGCGCGCAGGAGCTTCTTGACACCACTCGTCTGTGCCCGGTGTGTCGGCAGCAAGTGAGGGAGGTGATTCGTCTCTACCGTGTTTGAGGTGGTCGATCTACTGTAACACCAGCACAGAATTGTTCGGAATACATAAATTAATTTTCATGTTGAAGCTTTCACACAAAACACTAGGTGCTCCTACTTCCCCTTTTGTTGGCTAGACACGGTACAACTTGATCAGCTCCCGAATATGAGCTCGGCAAACCGGACATTCCGCAGTAGTTGTAAGTATCTCCTCGGCGCATTTCATACAGACTGCGTTGTGGCCGCAAGGCACACATACAGCAGACTGAGGGCCATCGAAGCATATAACACACTCGCCGATAGACGAGTGCGCTGCTGTGCTTCCGTTGTTTACCACGGGTGGGTATTGCTGTGAGGTCGAGCACGCCACTGAACCACTGCCATGCTCACTGGTATCCACAGCCGAGACCTCTCTTCCACTTGATTCGCATCCTTCCCAATCTCCCCAGTCAGGAGCTGATACTGCCAATGGTGGCGAAGGAGCTGCGACAGTTGCACCGGGGGCATGGCCTGTGTTAGCCGACGCCTGAAGAGAGAGTTGAATAGCTCTTCGAATATCTTCATCTTCTTCTTGAGAAATTGGTCTTGACGAAGTGGGAGCCGTGGACTGAGCACTGGGATTCCAACCAGCGATATTAGCGTGTCTCGCCTCCACCGGTCTCAGCTGTTCGTGGAGACTGCTGCCCATGTACGATCGCTCGGTCAACTGCTGCTGCTGATGTGTAAAGAAATTCTTCCACGCATCAAAACCCGCCTGGTCAACTGCAGCAAAGTGCACGGGATTCTGAAGCGCCGAGCTGGCTCGGTAGTGACACTTGTTCAGCTGGTCTCCTCGCAGAATGAACGTGAAATCCTTGGGACTAAACCATCTCGGGTCAGAGGTAGCCTCCATCCCAGCCGCAACATTGTACAGCATGACCGAGGTGGGGCAAACTTGACGCACGCCGCCGCTTTCCTTCACACTGAAGAGCGCTAGTTCCAGCACGTTCGGCTCACCACGCTCCAGTACGATGCACAGGCGCCGTGCCCACGAATTCAGCGACGAAATACCCGACACCAGCGATAGCACGTTGTCGGTCTTCTCATACAACCAGCCACTATACAAACAGAATTTCTGCAGTTACACACCAAACCGTTAGCAGACTCAGCAGCACGTTCCAACGTCATTACGCTCGAACCTTTTCAAGAACTTCAACGCACTTGGCGTATGGTTCGGCCTCGGTCTCTTCCTCCTCGCCCGAGAATCTGCTTCGAGCCAGGTCCAGCGGCGTCTTCATGTACAAGTTGATCTCGAACGGGTTCACCGCCGGCACTTCCAGTAGGAACTTGACCATCTCGGACTTGGCTCGCTTGCACGCGAGATGCAGCGGCGTGTTCATCTTCAAGTCCTTGGCGTTGCAGTTGGCGCCCGCCTGAATCAGTAGGCGCGCGCACTCGACGTGGCCTTTGGCTGCAGCCTCCAGCAGCGCTGTGCGGCCCGTGTAGGGCTCCTGCCACTCGAGGTACTGGCGCGTCTCGGGCGTGAGGCGCGACGTGGCCGAGCGGATGATGCGAGCGTCGCCATAGCGCGCAGCGGCCCAGAAAACCTGGTCCTCCGCGTAGAAGCACTGCGCCAGCCAGCTTACCGCGTTGCCCATGCCGCCTGCCGGATCGGATGCAAATTCACTTGTGACGCCGAGATGACTGTGGGATGCGTCGGAATGATGGTTTTATTAAGGAGTTTGTATATGAAGGCAAAATCAGATAGGTTGATGCCTTGAACGCGGGTAGGGGTGCAATCTTTCCTTGTAACAGTGCGGTCGACACCTCGGACTTTCGTACTTAGTCGGGCAAAAGTCCCAATATGAAGTTTTAGAAGTCCAAATGACTGCATGTGCACTTGAAGGTTGACAAGGGCGAAACCCCGCTACTTGAGTATAATCTCGTACTCAGACCTTCGTAAAATCCCCCACAGCACTTCTAAACTCCTCCCTTTAGCAAAGCTGGTGGTTCTTACTGACTCCTCATCGTCTCAGTCCCCGATCTATACTGTGTAAACCCAAATGTTGTGCATTTGCACTGCTGGCTTTGGGGAGTTCATTGTCATTGATCAATTGGCAGGCCATGGTTTCATTCGCCAACACATGTTTGGTTGTGCGCGAGCGAATTAACCCCTTGGTTCCCGACGTCGTAAGTTACGACTTTGCGAAATTAGAGCGCTTAAGCAGTTCAGAACGAAACGAAAATCTGATAAAAATCTGAGAAAATCTGATATTTTTTCGTCCTCTCGATTGCGTCTCGTTGTCTGAGGACGACAACTTTCGTAAGAACTTGTTGTGGCAAAACGGAATCAGAGGCGGAGCCAGTGTGAAATCTATAGTCTAGTCATAATGATGGACTCCAACAGCGACAGCGACAGCGACGATGATGTACTCGCTTACCGCCAGGCGGCGAAGGAGATGCTGGACACATCACGCGTGAAGAGACTACATGGAGACTGGAAGGCGGCATCCAGGCTGCGCCACAGCGCGTTGCTATTGCTATCGAAGGCTTCGCCACGATACTCTATACCCCGTGTCCGATTCGACATCAACAACGTCACGGACGACACCTGCCTGCTGTTCTACCGCTTCACCCAACGCCATCTACGCCGTTTACAAGCTTCATTTCAGCTACCGAACGTCATTCGCACGGGCGCGAGCTCTCGTACGTGTTGTAGCGGTCTCGAAGGACTCTGCATCACCCTACACAGACTTTGCTAGCCAACGCGATGGATGGAGATGTCAGGTATTTACGGCCGGTGGCCCAGCGCTCTAAGTAGTATTTTCTACTTTGTGATCGATTTTATTAGCGAGAGATGCAGCAGGTTGCTCAAGGGGAATTTAGATTATGTGAGCTCTAGATTGCATGAGTTTAGCCAAGCTATCTACGACCAAGGTGCTGAGTTGGACCGTATTTGGGGGTTCGTGGACGGAACCGTTAGGGGCATTTGCAGGCCAGGAGGGGCTCGGGAGCAGCAAAGTGTATACAGTGGCCACAAACGCAAGCATGCGCTCAAGTTCGAGACCGTCGCTTCAGCTATTAGTAACAAGTGAATCTAAAATGCATGTATATTGTGATGTTAAACGGAGAAGTAGCTTTCTAGCGACGGAGGCTCCACGCCAAAATATCTGCTGTTATTGTTCCCTCCACGAAGAATAGTGATACAATTGGTCAGAACCACTGCAGTTTTGTACAGCTTTGCTACAGGAACTTCTCCCAAGCACATTTTTCTCTTGTAGTCGACACCAGCCCAGTAGTTGACAACCTGGCCGTACGGCCATTCCACGGACGTCCTGACCTTCGACATGGAGGCGTTTATTGCAGCTTGAGCGGGCGTTAAACTTGATCCTTTAAAAGGAGATACAAACACATCGGTACGGCCGTACGCTTGGTCCCCGTAGACAAAGTAGCCTTGAAATCTCCCGTCGCGGCGGACTCGTTCCTCCAGTCCGGACTCTCGCAGCAGTAGGATGTCGTGTCTTCGGCCTTCAGCCGGCCCGTGTAGGTGGAAGATCATGCCGTCTGGAGTAACGACGGTCTGGAACTTGAGCGCATGTTTGCGTTTGTGACCACTGTACACACTTTGCTGCTCCCGAGCCCCTCCTGGCCTGCAAATGCCCCTAACGGTTCCGTCCACGAACCCCCAAATACGGTCCATCTCAGCGCCTTGGTCGTAGATAGCTTGGCTAAACTCATGCAATCTAGAGCTCACATAATCTAAATTCCCCTTGAGCAACCTGCTGCATCTCTCGCTAATAAAATCGATCACAAAGTAGAAAATACTACTTAGAGCGCTGGGCCACCGGCCGTAAATACCTGACATCTCCATCCATCGCGTTGGCTAGCAAAGTCTGTGTAGGGTGATGCAGAGTCCTTCGAGACCGCTTGTAGTGGGCCTACCTTGGCTCACTACTACGGCTTACACGTATGCGCACGTGTATGAGGAAGCGTAGGTTTCTTTTACTTGAGTTAAGTATACTCGAGATCCATGAGTATACTTTAAACAAGATAAAGACTCCAAGTAGCGGGTTTTGGTAAAAGATGAGAACTGCTATTTTTGTTTTATGTTTCTGACTTCCTCTAAATGTAATATTCTAAACTAGGAATCTGCCAACGGCTGGTTGGCAGAATTTTAATGCTATACATGTCGCTCATTGGCTAAAAGATGCTGCTTTCAGCCAATAGGAATCCTAAATGTGTATGGACCACCCGTCGTGGTGATCCTAAATGTATGTAGCCTTTGGTGTGTCTACACCAAGGACGAGAAAGTCTTTCGAACCCCTAACAGCCAATAGGAATCCTAAGTCTCTATGGACCACCCGTCGTGGTGGTCGTAAATGTATGTAGCCTTTGGTGTGTCTACACCAAGGACGAGAAAGTCTTTCGAACCTCTAACAGACGTCGTATCTGTTAGAGTTACAAGTGACTGTAGCCACTTGTCCGTATAACCCCGCTACACCATCCCCCCGTCAAGGTTAGACGTGCCGGTCCCGGCACGTCAAAGACCATCGACCGCTTGGTCAATGTGTGACGTTGAAGAGAGCGCGCTCGTAATGGAACGAACGCGTCGAAGTTTAAGACCGCTGGCGCAGCAGCGGAGAACCTCTCTGCTGCTGAGTAGCATGCGCGGCAACGTGCGAAGCGCGTCGCTGCCGCGGGGGGCAGGTACCTGTGTCTGCCCTCGAAGTGTCTTCGGGGGCTGCTGTTAACAGCAGCGCTCGCATTACGTTCCAGTGTGCAGCGCATAGTGGGCTTCGTATGCCCTCACCATGTCCGGGACGTCTTCGAGCAAGACGTTCCGCGGCTCCGATGTATCTTGGTTGGGAGGGAATCCTCTCCAACGGATACGAAAACGAACTGGTTGCCTGTTCGTTCTCGGGATACTGTGATCTACAATCCGCTCAACAATCCATCGAGTTGAGCCGTGTGCATCACGAATCGGCGGCGGTGGTGGCGGAAACACGCCCCGTGTGTGGTCAACTTGGTGTTGACCCTGATCTCGCGTCTCCCCACGACCGGAACTCGGTCGTGGAGTAGTTCCAGAGCGCTGGGTTCGGCGCTCTGAAGTATCCTCAGGTTGCGGCGGCCTCCCAGACCGCCTCGATCGTTCCGGCCGAGCTGGACCATTAGCCCGACCCGCTGCTCCAGCGCGAAGTCGTGCTGGAGAGGACAATGGCTTCCGCCGAGTCTTCTGCTTCGGTTCAGCCGAGCTAGGTAGCTCGTGCTGCAGGTATGGCTTCAGCCGCCCGACGTAAAAGGTCGGATGGAGGCGCATGCTAGATGGAATATCTAGCGTGTAGGCGTTGCCATACCGTGCCAACACCGTGAACGGCCTGATGAAGCGCGGAGCGAGCTTGCTCGCCCCGAAGTCGGAAACTGCATGTTTAGGCAGGTTTTGAGTTGCTAACAAGACTAATGAACCCTTCTCGAATTCATTAGTGTTGCCCCTGCCAACATTGTCTGCGTTCAGCTTCTGTCGGTCGACAGAAGCTGCAATAGCGTCTTGGACAAACCGAATGACGGCTTGTCTGCGCTGCACGAAGTTGATTGCGTCCGAGCTGAACGAGTTCAGCTCGTTTCCAGCACTAGGCCCGGCCTCTGCGTTCGTCTTCGTGGTGTCTGTGCCCTGCACAGACACGCTCTTCTTCTTCTTGTTCTTGTTGGTGTCTGTGCCCCGCACAGACACGTTCTTCGTGCGCTTGTCGGCGTCTATGCCCTGCACAGACGCTCGGTTCTTGGCTTTACTTCGTGTCGTTGCGGCTGACACTGTACAAGTGTCAGCGGCATTCTGCGGCTGCTGCGTTGCAGTCGTAGATCCTCCCCCACTTAAGGAAGGAGTCACCATCCCGAGTAGACTCGGGAGGCGTGGGTGCCTCATGACATTCACGTAGAAGGGTGTATGCCCGGTCGAGGCATGCACCGAGTTGTTGATGGCGAACTCCGCCATCGGCAGGCACTCGCTCCAGTGTAGGAACGAGTGAGCGTAACGCTTAAGCACGTCTACGAGCACGCGGTTCACGCGCTCGGTCTGCCCGTCCGTCTGTGGATGGTCCGCAGTCGACATCGAAAGTTGACTCCCAAGAAGTGTAAACACTTCTTGCCAAAGGTGCGCAGTGAAGCGCGGGTCTCGATCCGACACAATGTCGATCGGCATGCCATGGTGTTTAAACACCATGTCAACGAACAGACGCGCCGTCAGCTTCGCTGTCACTTCAGCGGGTACCGCAGCAAGATGTACCATCTTGCTGAAGCGGTCAACAAAGACCACAACGCCCGTGTTCCCCTGGCTGTCCGGGGGAAGACCGAACACGAAGTCCAAAGACATGGACTGTCAACACTCCCGTGGAGTTGGTAGTGACTGCAAGGGAGCCTGCGCGAAAGGCGCAGGCTTCACACGTTGACAAACCTCGCAAGCACGGACGTACTTGCGCACCCATTTATACTGGTGGACCCAGTAGAAGTCTCGCGTGAGAAGAAGGTATGTCTTCTCACGGCCGGGATGCCCCGCAGTCGGTGCATCGTGACACTCATACATGATCCTGAGTCGCAGGTCATGGTCATTGGGCACGACAACGCGGTCCGCGTTGTCGTCGACTGCACTGTAGAGTAATAAGCCGTCGTGCACCCTATAACGATGTGCACGAGCACGAAGATGCTTCGGCAACTTCTGACGAGCTTGGTCAGAAGGCGCTGAGCCGTAGGCCAGCAAGATCTTCGCGTCCGCGTCGTGCGCGTCCGCGACCTTCACGTCGTCCAACAGTGACGACGTCGGGGTGCTCGATCGCATGGTGTCAATGGCATTGACGTCGGCATCAGTCGTGGCGTAGTCAGGTCGACGCGAGAGCGCGTCGGCCACCACATTGAGTCTTCCGGGTTTGTACTCAACCCGGAAGTTATACTCTGCGAAGAATGAGAGCCATCTCGCCATCCGTTGCGAGATGTGCGGCGACTTCACAGCCGTCCGCAACGACGCGTGGTCCGTATAGACCACGAACGGTTTGCTTCCGAGTAGATACACTCGGAACTTCGCGAGTGCGTACTTCATGGCAAGGAGCTCCTTGTCATGTACCGGGTAGTTGCGCTCAGCTGGCTTCAGCTGACGCGATTGGTAGTAGACGACACGATCACGACCCTCGTGATCGTGCTGCATCAACGCACATCCGATTGCGAAGTCGGATGCGTCACACACAACGTGGAATGGGCGATCTTGGTCGGCCACCGCCAAGATCGGCGCCTCAGTCAAGCCCCGCTTGACTGCATCGAAGGCCTGCTGACACTCAGCAGTCCAAACCCACTCGGCGTCCTTCTTCAGGAGCTGTGACAGCGGGCGTATCATGCCCGCGTAGTCCTTCACGTACTTGCACAAGTACGTGGCCAAGCCAAGGAACTGCCGCAGTTCCTTGACGTTCGACGGCGTCGGCCACTCATTGATCACTCTGACCTTCTCAGGGTCAGGGCGGACACCGTTCTTCCCAACGAGACACCCGAGCACGGGTATCTCGCTCGCCCCAAGATGCACTTCTTCAGGTTCGCATAGAGCTTGTGCTTGCGCATGAGCGCAAGCAGCTTCCGGAGATGCACCTTGTGCATCTCAACATCGCTCATCCCGTCCTCAGCCCGGCTGTGGACGAACACATCGTCGAAGTAGCTCGGTGCGAAGTCGCGCACCGAGCGCAACAAGTGTGTCACGCACTGTTGAAGGTCGCAGAGGCGTTCTTCAGACCCTGCGGCATCACTAGCCACTCCCAGAGCATGCCGCTCGGCGTGCTCACTGCCGTGAGAGGGACATCGCTCTCACGCATGAGGATCTGATAGAACCCATCGCGCAGATCAAGAGAACTGTAGATAGTGCTCCTGGCCATCGAATCGATGATAACATCTTTTCGAGGTATCGGTGTCTGTGCCGGTATCGTCGCATCGTTCAGCTTGTTATACGCATGAACGATGCGCCAGCCGCCCTGTGGCTTCTTGACACAGAACGTCGGAGCACTGTGCGGGGATTTCGATTCCCGCACTTGTCCAGCTTTGCGACGACTTTCGAAGAAGTCGCCGATCGCTTTGACCTGCTCTCGCGGCAGTGGCCACTGCCGCGTGACACAGTACGTCGTGCCCGGCACGAGATCAATCTCGTGCTGGATTCCCTTGTCCTGCGGAAGCTCCGCAGGAATCTCTTCCGGAAGTACGTCCGCGTACTCCCGTAATATCTCGTAGTAGGGACTCGTATTCAACGAGCCCCAGCTCTGCTCTTCAAAGCGCTCCTTCTTCGTCTTCGCACTGAGAGTGTCCTCGCTCTCAGTGGTGGTCTCCATGAAGAACTGCCTCAGTTCTTCATTCTCTCGGCGTCCGAGAGAATGCATATTTGCTCGATGCGTCCATCATGCAAGTCACGCGCGAAGCGCTTCCAGCTCATGACTGGAAGCGAAGTCAACTCCGACGCTTGCGTCGGAGGGTTAGCGAGAGTCATCTCCCTGTACCGGAATCCGGCACAGGTACGCGTCAAGACGTTCAGCGTCTCGACGTCCGGCTTCTCAGCCTCCGTCTGCCCAGCAGACATTTCTTGTAGCGTCTCGGCCCCAGGCCGAGACTTGCGCAGCGACCTTCGCATGCGCTGTCTTCTTGTCCTGCGGAGCCCGGCTCCGCAGGACTCTTGACCTCGTCCAGGCCCAGCCGTGGACGGGTGTTCTTCTTCAGTACCGCCGGCGGGTTCATCCCGCGGGCGAGCGACTTCAAGCCCGGCTTGATCGCCCGGCGCTTCGTCGTGCAGCCCGGCTGCACGACAGCATGCAAGTTTTTCCGATGCGGGACGTTTGCAACCGTCCGCACCGCTTGCAGCGTCGACTC